CCCACCCAATGCCCATCCACCCGAACTATCTCATATTCATTCTTTGTGTGTGTCATTTCCACAACCAGCCAGTCGTTACGTCTCCGACCCGGCTCTGCGAAGGGCGTGCTACACTCTGCGCTTCCTATTGGCCAGCCACTCAGCCGTCCGCCAATCATTTTATCGCATGTCTGGCCGCGTGGCTGTGATTGGTGTGAACGAAGGCACGACGAGCATCCCCGAGCACAGCCATTTGCCGCCGTGGTGGAACCAAAGAGCTCGCGGACTAGGAGCCACGCCCTCCGCCCCAGTGTCCACGGGGGGCGAGGAGAATGTCCTTTGTCTTAGGTGAGTCGACTGGATCTTACTTTACTTTACTTTACTTTTTTTTCTTTCGCTTGTACCGATGGGTGTCTCGGGGAGACACAGGCGTCCACGGCGTGGGAGATGGAAACAGGACAAAGTAGGGTATAGCTGGGTCTGGGTGAAGTACGGTGTGACTTTATGTCACTGAGGCGTTACGCTAGCCGTGAAGGCCGACCCGGGTCACCCTGAAACGTTGCTGGCCAACGGAGCTCTGGTGAAACTGTGACTGGCCTAGCAGGCCGGCAGTGGATATAAATATTGGTCAAGAAAATAAAAGGAGACACAAACGGACTGGTCGACTGGATCATAAGTTTGAAAGACATAATTATCTCAAGAGTGTTGGAGTAAGAATCAGGTCTCAGACACAATGGATTTGATTGTCGATTCGTCTTTCAGCCTTTCGTTTCGCCAGCCTGGGACTTGATACGAAAAGGTTTATATAACGAAAGCCTAAACAAGACAAATCCAGACTCTATGAGCCAAAGGGCTTTTAGAATAAGTTTTACTTTACGCCTTTTCGGCTTTACGTCAGCCGAAAATGACACCATTCAGCACAAGTGCCGAAAGCCGAATTCACTTTGTTTGAGCCCTAAGACAGGGCAATATTTCCCCTTTGGTAACCTGAATCCAGATCAATCTCGTACTCACAATATACATCGTTTTCAAATAGCGAAACACATTCATCCATTCATGTAATTGATTCATGTGAAAGAAGCAGCCAATGTCTAGATTTTGGAATACACTCTTTGGCAGTTAAAAAGAGTAAGGGATGTAAAGAAAACCCCTCCCTGCACCTGCCAGTAATTTTCACCTAGCATTTTCCCTACTGGGACATACTTATTATGTTGTGCGAATGAGAACACAGTGTTCTTTTTTCTGAACTTCTTTTGTCTGACTATCTTCCACAGAACCGACCGTTACAACCAGGACATCTATTTACACGAGTCTGCCCACGGTGTCCATCTCCTAGGTACGGCGAGAGAGAGAGAGAGAGAGAGAGAGAGAGAGAGAGAGAGAGAGAGAGAGAGAGAGAGAGAGAGAGAGAAAGAGAGAGAGAAAGAGAGAGAGAGGGGGGGAGGGAGAGGAAAAAGAGAGAGAGGGAGGGAGTGAGAGAGAGAGGGGGGGGGGAAAGAAAGAGAGGGGGGACAGACAGACAGACAGACACACAGACAGACAGACAGACAGACAGACAGACAGACAGACAGACAGACAGACAGACAGACAGCCACACACACAGACACACAGACTCACAGACAGACACAAAGACACACACACAAACATACAAACATCGACAGACCGACTAGTCTCTTAATTTTAAGGTCAAATCGACCACTTTTCTAATATAATTTTTTAAAATCGCCGAATTCCGACTTAACACCACCCCCTCCCCCCTGCCCCCTCTTCTCCCCTCCCCTCCACCCACCACCCTTTTAATCCCCACAGGAGCCGCCTATGGTATCCCCGGCTGGGACCGACGACTCCGCAGTCTGTACAACCAGGCCAGGTCTCGCGGTCTCTGGGCCAACACCTACAGTATGTCCACGCCAGAGGAGTACTTTGTGAGCTCCTGCATGTGTCAGCGATACTTTTACTTTTACTTGTCACAGTTGACCTCCAAGACAGTTAACTGGACGTCTCAAAACGGGGAAAAAATGACCACAAAGGGAGAAATGAGAAGTGACTGCTTGTGACAGCGATACTTTTACTTAACACAGTTGACCTCTAAGACAGTTTTAGTTTTAGTAGAGGTTTTAAGGTCATATGAGCGCCAGAAGATTAGAGTTGTTACAAGATAGTAACAAACTTTTAAAAAAGAAGAAGGGGAGATAAGGACGATAGGTGTTTGATAGGAAAGAAGAAGCAAACCACACCAGAGCACCCGCCAACCACCCTCTAAGACAGTTAATTGGACCTAGCTATCGTGCCAGAACCTGTCTGCTGGGACATTTCAGTAACCCACTTTCAGCACTTTTTAAGGACCCTCGGGCAAGTGTTGAGCTCCTGTGTGCTGTCGGCATCGCTGACCGTTTATGAAGCCACAGCGCCAGAAGAGAGAGAGAGAGAGAGAGAGAGAGAGAGAGAGAGAGAGAGAGAGAGAGAGTGTGTGTTAATTGGACGTCTTATATATTCGATTACCACAGATCCTTTTATAGCAGGCTGTTTTGCTGACACTGAGACGGAATCGATCAGTGACCCAAACACTAGGGTGGGGTGGGGGGGGGTATGTGTTTGAAAGTTAGTATTTAGGCAAGTGATCATACAAACAGGCGAAATGTCCTGGTTAAGACAAAGTCTTAGAATTTGACGGCTCGAAAGCAAGTCCATGCGCTGCAAGATCATTGTTATATCCTGGTCTGCGCAAAGTGAACCCTGTTATAGCCAGGTTCATATTATTACTTACACTTTATTTTTATTTTTTTCAAACGCGGATTTGATTTATCACGGTTATATCCAAGTTCCTGTAATAACAGAGGCTGTTATAAATGGACTGGATTGTAATAATATGGCACCGTTTAAGACCCCCATCCTATCTGAAAAAGACATTTTTCTCCTCGAAAATGGTTGGTCGACTTAGACAATTTCGACTGATTTTGTGATTTCTATTTGTTTCGCTCATAAATAGACACTGTCGATCATGGCTCTTCACTCGGCAGTCTTGGCTATCATTCTGAGATCAGATCCTCTGAAATCAAACAAGCTTTATTTTGTAATGGCCGTCAATCCTAGTTCGAAAAAAAAGAGCCAATCAGATGGCGACTGCTTTTATGGGGTCAGATCTTTTGTTTGCGTGTGGAGTGCAATATGCCCTAAGAGTAGTAATAGACTTCTTAATCAACATCCCTCAAATTTATCAAACCGTAATATCATGGCACTTATTAATATTATGACATTTTATTTGTGCTTCAAGTCTCGTAAAAGTCTTACTAAAAGATGGTAAATCTATTTTAAAAAACAAAAACATTACAAACAGGGATCGGACGTAACTTTCTACAATGCACAGTGAAAACTTTTCTTCTAAATGACGTGACAAAACATCAATGTACCAATGCCGTACCCACAGGCGGAGGGCACACAGAGATGGGAAGCGAGCTGTGGAGGAAAAGAAGGATGGAAATTATGTCCCTGGTTTCTTTAGCAACAGAGTAGGGTGGGGGAGGGAGGGTGGGTGATAATGTTAGGCAGCCAATATCAAGGGACAAAGAATAATCGTCTTCTTGAAAAACAATCTGTGTTTCATTTTTAGCAAAATGAAAGCCATTATATTCAGAAAATGATAGTATCCTGGTGGACTACCCAATGGATGGTCCTGGT